GAGGCGGCGGCGGCGGCCGCGGCGGGCAGCACGTCGGCGGGGCTGGCGTAGGGCGAGCCGGTGGGGTTGGAGTTGGCCACGGGCCCCGCCACGTTGGCGTAGCTGATGTTGAGGCAGCTGCTGCTCTGGGGGTCTTCCTGTACCTTCTGCACGATGGCGCTCACGGCCTTGTGCACCTGCTCGGGCTCGCCGCTGACCGTCACCACGCGCTCCTGCAGGTTGATGCCCTCCGGCTTCTGCGACAGCTGCACCCACGCGCCGGACTGCTCCATCACTGCCTTCACCGTGGCGCCGCCCTTGCCGATGATCAGCCCGGCTGTGCTGTTGGGGACAATCAGCTTGGCCTGCGGAGGGAGGGGGGGGCATCAATGTGTGTGTGTGTGTGTGGGGGAAACAGAGAGAGGTGGGGTTGGCGCCCGAGGTGATGGGGAGGCTCCTGGAGGGGGGCCGTACAGAACCCAAGACCAGGCCCACGGATAGGCCTTAATGATTGTGGGGGAAGATAGATAGATAGATAGATAGATCTAAAGTACAGATGTTTCTAGAATAAAAAGAAAAATTTTGAATCTCTACAAAAGCAGCCTGATTGGCAAATAATTTAAAAATAAAATCTGACCTTGCAGAAAAAAAAAATAGCTAGCTAGATAGATAGACCAACCGACCTATGCGGGGCACGGGGTGGCTCACACCTGTAATCTCAGCTACTCAGGAGGCTGAGATCTGAGGATCTCGGCTCCAAGGCAGGAAAGTCTGCAAGTCTTCTAGAAATGGAGCTGTGGCTCAAGTGGTAGACCACTAGGCTTGAATCCAAAAGCTCAGGAATAGTGCCCAGGCCCTGAGTTCAAGCCCCAGTACCAACACACACACACACACACAATAATTGAATTATACAGGGCACTGGTGGTACAAGCCTGTAATCCCAGCCACTCAAGAGGCTGAGATCTGAGGATCACAGTTCCAAGCTAGCTCAGGAAGGGGAAGACCAGGAGACTCATCTCCAATTAACCAATGGAAAGCCATAAATTGGAACTGTGGCTCAAGTGGTAAATGCCAACCTTAAGTGAAAAAGCCACAGGACAGTGCCCAGTATATCACTGTACTCACTAATGCTTTTCAAACTCTACTAAACATCTACTTTTTTTTGGGGGGGTCAGTTGTGGGGCTTGAACTCCGGGCCTGAGCGATGTCCCTCATCTCTTCAACTCAAGGCTAGTGCTCTACCACTTGAGCCACAGCCCCACTTACGATTTTCTGGTGGTTTATTGGAGATAAGAGTTTCACGGACGTTCCTGCCCGGGCTGGGTTTGAACCTTGATCCTCATATCTCAGCCTCCTGAGTAGCTGAGTAGCCTGAGCCACCAGCTCCTGGCTTTGAATCTCACTTTACAAATCAAAGGCCTGGAGAAATCAAGTCACTTGCTTAAGGTCACCCAGGTAGGAACTAACAACAAAGCAGGATGTAATTCAACATCCCGTTCCAGAGCCAGAGCCTGTAACTGTGATCTCCTCTGATTCTTTCGAGTCCTCGAGTAATATAAGGCAGAGGCTAAAAGCCTGGTTCTGTGCTGGAGTTCCTGTGGATTAGAGGCAGGCTGTGGAAGGCGACTCAGACACAGATGGCTCTGACCCCATTTCCCTGCAACATACACACACTCTGGATGAACCCTGAGTCCCTTGAGGCCACCATCAAAGTGGAGGGAAGAGGCAACGTCCTCGCTTTCCTGTAAGCTGTGTGTAAACCCTGCCCTGCTCCTGAGACAGGAATTTGGGAGAGGCCGGCCTGGCAGGAAGGGAGGAGCCGGGACGCTTCAGCACCAAGGACAGCGGCTATGTTCCAGGCCCCACAGCCCCCTCCGTCTTTTTGGGGGAGCGAGATCTATCCATCTCCGGCCACGTTCTTCCAGGCCTGTCCGCCCACCGTGTCCCTCACGAGCTTAGCGGAACTGAGGTTCTCATCTCTGGGCCCCAAAATGCCAGAGTCCACCTACCGAGACCCTCTCTCTGCGCGCTCAGCATCGAGCGCAGCCGTTTCCGCGCACTCCTTCCCCCTCCCATGACCGGGGAAAGGACCACTTCACACATAGGGGCGTTGCCTAGGGACCACCTGCCCCGAGCGTGTGCGCGCCGTCGTCATGGCAACCGAGGAGGCCCGGGATACGATTGGTTCGCTCCTTGCCACACCCCTAATGCTACCGCTTCCCCGGGTAACTAAGGCAACCAAAGAGATGCTGCCCTCCTCCCCATCCCTCCCTCACTAAGAGAGGGCTGAGTAGGATTGCCCGCCCCCTCTCTCTCTAATGAAATACTATCTCTACCCTCCCAAAGAGACCGTAATTATGGAGGAGACCACGTATAAATCTTGGAGAGGCTGAGCTGTCGCTGAAGCCACTTCCGGTTGCGTACAGGAAGTGGGAAGCAGGTTGTTCAGAAAGACAATGGGATGAGGTGGAGGGGAGATGAGGAACTTAGGGAATCTCAAGAAACCTGGATGGATCAAGATCTGGGCCTGGATGTTCACTATCTGGATGAGACCCACTCCAGGTGGACTGAGTTCTTTCCAGACTGACTGCCTTTTCTTTTGAGGGGAAGGTGTCTAAGATTGGGACTCAAGCTTGCTATCTATCTGGTGCTTACTTTGACACACTGTCTGATAGTCTACTACCTGAACCATGCCTCCAACATCTGACTTCCTAATAATAATTATCAATAAAATCATAACCAGTGGCAGGTATTGGGTGATAGACTCATCGTCCCACCGAACCCCCATGCAGGCATTTGGGAGGTGAGATCCCCTCCTGAACCTCACAAGCATTAACAGCAACCCACTCTCTGGCCCAGCTGACCTGCTTGGCTCTGTCGGGATTCATCGTGGTTTGGGGTTGAAGGATGTTGACCACCTCAGGCTTGGTCATTGCTTGAGGGATTTCTCGGACTTTCTCGGCAATAAAGCTGTGCACAGCGTTCAAGGCCTCTGCTGTGCCCTGTACTAGGCACACCCGCTCTGTGGTTCCTGTTGAGCAAGGGAGAGAGAGGGTACACTCATCAGACAGGAATGGAGACATTCCTGAGAGATAAGCCCCATTTGGCAGAAGGGGAAACTGAGGCAGGAGGGGACTTGGCTGTTTTGTGGCTGAATGGTTGGTTTGGTCAAGCTGCTGTGAGTGCCCAGGCAGTGATGGGGAGAGAATTGAGAGAATGAATGAATGAATGGAATCCCTGTTTTATAATCTGCACTTTATCTCCCTCCTCTAAAACAGCCCTAGGGCACAAGAGAATGATGCTTAAGTGCTTAGCGGTGCCCACAGCAGTAATGATTGGGACGACCGGCCTCAGCTGCCTCTTCCTAGTTCTTTCGGGCTCCCCCTAGTTGCTTTGGCAACCATTCACTCACCGTGGCCCTCCCTTCTTCTAGAAGCTGAGTGCTCAGGCCTGTAACGGTTGCCACAGTAACTGGAACCCCCTTATCGGTCTGGCTGGCCTGGTCCTCAGCCCACCCCCAAGGGGGATGAGGGATGAGGCTGGGTTGCCATAGTAACTCCTCAAAGCCTGCAGCGTTGGCCTCTGGGCTTTTGGAGAGGATGGGGAAGGAGTGGGGGATGGGAGAGAGGCTGAGTGCCTGCCTGGACCCACCAGATGGAAGAAGGGCTGAGAGGCGGGGAGAGGGCAGAGGTGTGGGTGGACAGGGGAGAGCAGGACAGGTCAAAGGCAACTCTTGGAGGATGGAGATAGACTGAGGAAGGAGAGGGGGCTTGAGCTGCCTTTGCTCCAGACCCTTCAGGGTCTTAGCTACAGATCTGACCTCTCTCTCTGTGTGTGTGTGTGTGTGTGTGTGTGTGTGTGTGTGTGTGTGTGTGTCTTGGCAAGACTAGCTAGTTAGATTGCCTTAATTTGTATTTCCTGCATAAGAGAAAAAGACAAAAAGTAACAGCTATGAGACTCATGCTTCAGGGAGGTTTGTGGGGAGGACTGGTGTCCTGGTGACTTTGTTGTATATACTATTTGCAAGGCTGAGCTGGGTGTGAGTTTGAGAGCATGAAAGACTCAAGAAGTAGAGAGGCTGTAGAAGGGCATGCAGTTCACTGGCAGTGTGCATGCCGCGTGTGTATGTGTGTGCACACTTGTGAACAAGAGGCGTTGTCACACCCCTCTGAGGATCCACACTCAATGATGTACAAAGCAGAGAGATGATAGCTGTGAGATTAGATGGCAGGTTGTGTCAGTGAATGTGTCACAACAAGACAAAGATGACTGTATTGTAATGGCCTGAGTGCGCAGGTTGAGTGTCTGGGTGAGCCTGCGTGTGTGTTCTGTGTGTTCAGTGTAAGTGTACCATCCACCTCCAGAGGGATGCTCTCTGGGTGTGTAAAACATCCTGAATGTGTGCCAACTTTAATGGCGGTGTGTCTGGGTCACTTGGCAGGATCATTATTCAGTGAGTGTGGCACACCAGCTCTGCCATGTGTCTGGGGGTGGGGGTGACTGTCTGGGCGCCACCTAAGTAGAGTTGAGGGCCCCCATGTCAGCTTGGACAAGATCCTCACTTTTACACCTCCTCCCCATCTCTGAACAATGGCTAGGTCAGTGCCAAGGGTGAGTCAGCCAGCAGGCTGCCTCTGTCTGGGTGTAAATAGGAAAGGGTGTGGGTCAGGCTGTGGAATGAGGCAGGGTGAGGGAGGGGGGGAGTCCTCTCCCCCCCCCAGGAGATCTGCCTGAAGTGGCCAGGTTCGTCATCTCTGTGGAGACTTGGGACAATCCAGTCTTTGTAGTTCTTAACCTGGCAGTCACAGGGGAGGGTGTTTCATTGGGAAGGGAAGTTAAACTAGGGGAACATATCCCATATTAACAGCTGGTGGTTATGTAATGTCAAGCACCAGGCACCACACAGAGCCCTTCAGCCGGGCCCTTCCTATGTGCTGTGTCTAGTCATGGTAACTAAGAAGTGAGTGCCTTAGTCCCCCAATTTACTAAAGATCCAGAAGGTCCCAGTGTTGTCCCAGTTCACTCAGTTAACAGAGAATGATCCGATTTTTGAATCCATCTGTCTGACTTTCAGAGTCTGGGCACTTTTTTTTTCTTTTTTCTTTTTTTTGGTTGGTCATGGGGCTTGAACTTGGGGCTTGGACACTGTCTCTGAGCCTCTTTGTGCTCAATACTAGCCCTCTACCACTTGAGCCACAGTGCCACTTCTGGCTTTTTGAGTGGTTTATTGAAGATAAGAGTTTCACAGGGAGTTTTCTCTCCAAGCTGGCTTTGAACCTCGATCTTCAGATCTCAGCCTCCTGAGTAACTAGGATTACAGGTGTGAGCCACCAGGACCCAGCGTTTTTTGTTTTTGTTTCTTGGTTGTGGGGCTTGGGCGCTGTCCCTCAGCTCTTCAGCTCAAGGCAAACGCTCTACCGCTTGAGCCACAGTGCCACTTCTGGTTTTCTAGTGGTTTTTATTGGAGATAAGAGTCTCACTGACTTTCATGCCCGGGCTGGCTTTGAACCATGATCCTCAGATCTCAGCCTCCTGAGTGGCTAGGATTACAGGCGTGAGCCACTGGCACCCCAGCATTTTTTTAAAGTTATATTTCAGATAGGATCTCAAATTTTTGCCTGGGGCCAGCCTCCTATTTGTGCCTCCCAATAGCTGGATTACAGGTGGGGATTACCATGTCTGGCTTTTTTTTTTTTGTCCATCCTGGGGCTTGAACTCTGGGCCTGGGCGCTGTCCCTCAGCTCTTCAGCTCAAGGCTAGCGCTCTACCACTTGAGCTACAGCACCACTTCCAGCTTTTTCTGGAAGTAGTGGTGCTGAGGAATTGAACTCAGGGCCTCATGTATGCAAGACAAGCATTCTACTGAGCCACCTTCGCTGCCCCACCATGTCTGGTTTTATTATCATGTCTCATCTCTTTCTCTTTTCTTCTTCTTTTTTTCTTTTTTTGAGTCAAGCTCCCACCCCTCCAGCACTTTCAATTTCAGAAGTTTATTTTTTTGTGCTGGTCCTGGGGCTTGAACTCAGGGCCTCAGTGCTGTCTCTGAGCTTTAATACTCAAGCACAGTTCTACTCTCAGCTTTTTGATGCTTAACTGGAGGTTAGAGCCTCATGGACTTTCCTGCCTGGGCTGGCTTTGAACCATAATCTTCAGATCTTAGCCTCTTGAGTAGCTAAGATTACAGATGTGAGGCACTGGTGCCTGGCTAGGGCTTCATTTTTCATGCAGGGCCTTTTGTTAACTTTGCCTTGGTCCCAATCAAGCCCAGGAAAAGTTAGCAAGGGAAAGAGGTCAGTTGCCAGGCATGGCGGTGCATGCCTATATTCCCAGCCAATAGGAAGGCAACAACAGGCTACTTCTCAGCCTTGGGCTGTGGGACTTCTTGCTGGAGAGCCTTTTTCTGCCCCTTCCCTAGCTCTTTTTCACTTACTGCTGGGGCTTCCGCCTGTGGCAGCCACTCCTGACCTCCCTGAGGTGAATTTCCACCATCCTTTGTACTTTGCTGTTCGAAACCTGACCATTCCAGGTCAGCATTGTTATGGGTTCCATCTCCCTGACTAGGGTGTGAGATTGAAGACAGCAAAGCAGGGCTACCTCAGTCACTAGGTCCTCTTCTATGTTTTAGCCCACGCTTGGAACACCCAACACACTTTGAAAACATGTTGACTGAGTGAAAGAGCGTCCAGCTATGTGCAGTGGTTGACACTTGTAATCCAGGCTATTCAGGAGGTGGAGCCTGGGAAGACACTAATTTAGGATTAAGTGTGGCAAAGTGAGTGAGACCCCATCTCAACCAACAAACCAGTCATGATGGCATGCACCTGGCGTTCCAGCTATGCAGGAGGGAGGATCAAGGTGCAAGGCTGGCCCTGGGCAAAAATGCAAGATCCTATTTGGAAAAAGAGTAAAAGAAACAAAAGAGGCTGGGGGGGGGTGTGAGGACACCTGTCTAGCCAGTAAGAGGCCCCAAGTGCTACTGAACAGAAAGAAAGAAAACAAAGAGAGGAGGCAGGCAGGCAGGCAGGAGGAAGGAAGGAAGGAAGGAAGGGAGGGAGGGAGGGAGAGAGGGAGGAAGGAAAGGAGGGAAAGAGGAAGAGGCCAGGCAGGAATGGGGAGAAATGTATCCTGGGGTCCTGTGTTTCCAGGAACCTCCTCCAAAGGCCAGAACAAGGGGGCAGTGAGCCGGCTCCTGCATCTCTGTATTAGGAGTTGGCCCCTGCTGAATGAATCTGGAAGTTCTCTAATGGGGAGTGGGGTGGGGTGTGTGTTGGGGTGTGTTGGTCATCTCTCCAGGGCCCTGTGTCTCAGGCTGGGGAGAGATGGTGGCTCTCACGACACATCTCTAGAATAAATAAGGACAACCAGTCCCATCCTCAGCAGCCTGGCCTGTGGGGCGGGCCACTGGGTTGGGAAGGGGATGACACATCTCACGGCACAGAATGTGATCTGGGGACCAGGAGCCAAGTGTCCTCAGATGAGCGTCCCAGGCAGAGGACTTGTCCACCTCGTGTGGACTAAGGGGTGCGGGGAAACTGGGCCAGGGCGGAAGAGAGAGGGAGGAGGTGTCCAGTGGGTCACTGGATTTTTTCTGGAAACTCTGCCAGAGCTGCTTAGTGAGATGGGAGGGGGGCCGAGAGAGAGAGAGAGAGAGAGAGAGAGAAAGAGAGAGAGAGAGAGAGAGAGAAATGTGTCCTGACCCTGAGCTCCATCTCTGATGTTTGACCTAAAAAAAACTGCAAGGGGAGATTAAGGATGAACTAGAATCATCTGAGGATGGAAGATGCAGTTCACCAGGCCTTTCCTGGATTTCTGGGTGTTTTGTGGGGGGACAGGGGAGGAGGGAAAGACACTGGGAGGAGGGTGTGTAAAGGGGCCTGGGGGGCGTGGTTAGAGCAGAGCAGCCTTGAAAACTGTGTAGTTAAAGAAGAGATGGAGCTTGAGCAGAGGCAGACAAGAGACTGGGTTTACAGGGAGTGGGAAAACTAGCTATGAGAAGCTGAGAAAAGAAGCTGGGGGACTGGACAGCTGGGGCGGGGGGGGGCAGGGGGCGCAGGGAGCACTGCAGGAAGAAGCTAGAAGGCAGATGGTTGGCCCTCAGAGAAAGAGCTTACTAGCCACTGTGAAGTGGCTAAGTGGATGGCAGAACAGAGTTCTGAAAGGAAGAACAAGGTGAGAGTCAGGGGAGGAAAGGAAATGAGGAGGGAGGCTGGGAGATCAGGAAAGGATGGACTGACAGAGGAGGTCAGACAGGACAGACTGGAGGAGGTTATCTAAATAGAAGCAGAAAGTGAGCTGAAGGGGACAGAGATGGGGAGGGAGAAACAAAGGGTGGGAAATGAAGAAACAGAAGGAATGGGGGGGCCAAGGGAGTCTCATCAAGAATGACCCAAATCGGGCTCCAGTGGCTCACACCTATAATCCTAGCTACTCAGGAGGCTGAGATCTGAGGATCATGGATCAAAGCCAGCCACAGCAGGAAAGTCCATGAGATTCTTATCTCCAACTAATCAGAAAAGCCTAGAAAGTGGAGCTGTGGCTCAAATTGGTAGAGCACTAGCCTTGAACAAAACAGCTCAGGGACAGAGCCAAGACCCATGAATGACAAAAAAAAAAAAGATAAAAGAGGCTGGGAAGGTGGCTCAGTGGTAGAGCGCTTGCCTTACATGCATAAGGCTATGGGTTCGATTCCTCAGTACCACATAAGCAGAAAAAGCCAGAAGTGGCGCTGTTGCTCAAGTGGTAGAGCGCTAGCCTTGAGCTGAAGAGCTGAGGGACAGTGTCCAGGCCCAGAGTTCAGGCCCCACAACCAGACCCCCCCCAAAAAAAGGGCTGAGGGACAGCGTCCAGGCCCAGAGTTCAGGCCCCACAACTTACAACAAAAAAGAAAAGAAAAAAAAGAAACTAAGAAAAAGGCTTGAGGGTATGATTGTTCTCAAGTGTGAGGTCCTGGGTATCACCAAAAATTAAAAAAAAAAAAAAATCAGACTGAGAGACATCTCGACTGACACAGAGCAAATGAGGTGACAGAGATCCAAAGGAAAGAGTGTGGGGTATGTGTCACGTGGATGGCTGGCCTCTCCAGGCCCTGAGGGACACTCTGACACCTGCCTCCCCTTCCATCGTGGCTCCTCTAACTGACCTGAGGGGGCAGGTGTGTGGGAAGGGACACATCTGCTAGCCTCATGCAAATGAGCTATGAATATGCATCAGTCCCATTGTCTGGCCCTGCCCCCAGCCCCATCTGCTCAGGCCAGGCCCCCTGGACTGGGGGCAGCTCTGTCCCCTTAGGGGGGAGGGGAGGTTCCTCCCTCCATTCTCAGTGTTCCTAAAGGCAGCCCCTTCCTCCTCGGGCAGGGTCCAGATGTGAGGGCAGGAGGAAGACGGGGAGGCCGGGGGCGGAGACCCAGGCTGGCGCTCACCAGGGTAGAAATCTTTGGACTTGGACAATTTGATAGTGGCTCCCGTCTCCTTCTGCAGCTGCACAATCGTCTGGCCGCCCTTGCCGATGATGGAGCCGGCCGCGTAGCTGGGGATGAGCACCTTCAGGAAGTATTCGCCTTCCTCTGTAGGGACATGCAGGGCAGAGGGGAGTCAGTAAGGCACGGGGCAGCTCCCGGGAAGGGTGTGGCAGGGGCAGGCAGATAGGACTATGAAAATCACTATCAGCAAGAGAATATGATTTTCCTCCATTCATTCATTCATTCATTCAACAAACAGCAAGGAGCCCCCTCTATGCATTTGGAGAAACAGCCATGACTGAAATAGTAAAAGCTACCTGATTTTGTGAGTAGATAAGGCAAATAAGACCAAAAGAACTTCAGCTTACATAGCTCTGTTTTTCTAGAGAGTGAGAGAGAGTCTATTCCATGTCAGATGCAAGTACAAACTAACAAAACACCAAGAGGCAGGGAAGGGAACAGGGGAGCATAGACAATCACAGATGCAGGGGCCAGGGAAACTCTTATAAAATAACGTAACATAAGGCTGGGCACTGGTGGCTCATGCCTGTAATCCCGGCTCTTCAAGAAGCTGTTGTCTAAGGACTGTGGTTCGAAGGGCAGGAAAGTCCATGAGCCTTACCTCCAATTCTTCACTAACAAAGCCAGAAGTGGAGCTGTGGCTCAAGTGGTAGAGGCCACTGAACCAGGCTTTGAGTTCAAGCCCCAAGACTGGTACAAAAAACAAACAAACAAATATCCCCACATCATGAACTTCTTGACCCACAGCCCCACTTCCAGCTTTGTTAGTGAATTGGAGATAAGACTTTTCTGCCCCAGCTGGCTTCGAATCTTGACCCTTAGATCTCAGTCTTCTGAGTAGCTGGGATTACAGGAATGAGCCATAGGTGGCACCAGGCTAAACATATATCATTATTCATCATCTATAGCATCTCATCACGTCAGACTTTGCAAACACCAGTTCTTAGTACTAAAAGTTCTATGAGGTTCTATGAGGGAGGCACTATTAAAATCTCATCCACAAACAAACAAACTTAACAAAACAGAAATCTCTGGCTCCACACCCATGCCCTCAGACTCCTGAGTAGCTAAGATTGCAGGTATAAACCACTAGTGCCTGGCTTTTATTTTGTTTTTGAGACAGAATCTAACTTTGGGCTAGACTGCTCTTGAACTTAAGATCCTCCTGCCTCAGTGTCCCAAGCAGCTAAGATTACAAGTATGAGCTTCAACCTTTTCTATTAAGCAAAGGAGAACTATTTTCGTCGTCTCACATGAAATCCAATGCACAGAGCAAGTAAAATATTGCTGTTCTAGGGGTCGTGGCTGTGGCTCCATGGCAGTGTATTTGCCCCACATGCTCCAGGCTCTGGGTTCAACTCCCAGTATGTAGGAAAAACAAAACAGAACAGCTCCAAGAAAAGGTGCTCAGCCGGGTACCAGTGGCTCAGGCCTGTAATCCTAGCTACTCAGGAGGCTGAGATCTGAGGATCATGGTTCAAAGCCAGCCTGGGCAGGAAAGTCCATGAGAAAAACCCAAGTGGCACTGTGGCTCAAGTGGTAGAACGCTCGCTTTGAGCTGAAGAGCTGAGGGACAGTGCCCAGGCCCAGAGTTCAAGCCCCACGACTGACCAAAAAAAAAAGGGTACTCACTGACAATCCCGTCCATCTTAGTATGAAGGTTTTCCAGTGAGCTGATGCACACCTGTAATTCCAGCTACTTAGGAGACTAAGGAGTTCAAGCCTAGGTTACATAGCAAGACCCTGTCTCAGAACAATATACAAAAACAAAACAGGAATATGGATATAGCTCAGTGGCAGAGTGCTTGCCTTGCATAATAGAAGGCCCTGGGTTCAAACCTCAGTACCAAATGAATAAACAAAGCTAGGTTTATGCCTTTCATCCTAGCTTCTCAGGAAGTAGAGATCTGAAGATTCTGGTTTGAAGCCAGTCCAGGCAGACAAATCCAAGAGACTTTCATCTCTCTAATATACCACCATAAAGCTAGAAGCAGAACTAGCTCAAATGGTAGAGCATCAACCTTGAAAAAAAAAAGCTAAATGATGCTGGGTGCCAGTGGCTCACACCTGTAATCCTAGCTACTTAGGAGGCTGAGATCTGAGTATCATGGTTTGAAGCCAGCCTGCGCAGGAAAGACCATGAGACTTTTATCTCCAGTGAACCACCCCTAAACCAGAAGTGGCGCCTTGGCTCAAAGTGTTAGAACACTAGCCTTGATTAAATGAGCTCAGTGCCCAGGTCCTGAGTTCAAGCCTCACAACCAACAACAAAAACAAAAACAATAGCCAGGCATTGGTGGCTCACGCCTGTAATCCTAGTACTCAGAAGGCTGAGATTTGAGGATTACAGTTCAAAGCCAGCCTGGGCAGGAAGTCCATGAGACTCTTATCTCCAATAAACCACTGGAAAACTGGAAGTGGCGCTGTGGCTCAAGCAGTAGAGCACTTGCTTTGAGCTGAAGAGCTCAGGGACAGTGCCTAAGCCCAGAGTTCAAGCCCCATGACCTACAAAAAAAAGCCAACGGATTGAGCTGGAGGCGAGGCTCAGTTGGTAGAGCACCAGCCATTAAGCAATGAACATCAAATATCAAGTTCAAGTCCCAGTTTCCCAAGAAAAAAAGGGAAGAAAAAAATCCAAGTAAGAGTACAATGCTGAGTTCAAGCCCAAGTACCAGCACAAAATAGATCAACAAATAAATAAGGAGGTTCAGGGTTCCCTGGTAAGTTTAAGATGGAGTATAGCCAAGAGGGGCTGGTGTGGCCTGGCTTGCCTGGGGAAGGGTCCCAAATAAAGGGTTTTCCCCCTGAACCCAAGGGCAATCCTCTTAAAATGGCCTAATGGGATCCTTTAAGCCTATTAGGTAGTTAGGCCAGCCCCCATGTGCCTTCCCATTGGTCCTCTCACACTGGGATCCCTCCAGGATTGGCCTACATCCCTTTTGCCTTCTCCCTTCAGCCTGTCCCACAGACACACGGGCTCTGGGAGGCTGGGAAAGGCTGGAAGGAATTCTCAGGAATCCTGAGGACACCATTTTGTCTCTCCCCACTTTCACCTTCACTCCCGGTGAACCCTTGAGAGTAGAAGTACTCGGTGTCATCTCTGAAATAGGGGTAGGGGGTGATGACTCCCCATTCTCTGCCTCCTCTCTCCTATATGGCCTCAATCAGGAGCTGGGAATTTTATTTTCCTCTGTGGACTAACCCAAACAACTCTAGATAAGTGATGTGGGTGTTTTGCCATTGACCCGTTCTATAACTTGGGGTTAGGGCCCCCCAATCTCTGTTAATCTCAGTTTCCTCATCTACAAGTCTTGCTTTTTTTTTTTTGCCTGTCCTGGGACCTGAACTCTGAGCCTGAGTGCTGTCCCTTCAGCTATACCACTTGAGCCACAGCACCACTTCTGGCTTTTTCTGTTTATGTGGTACTGAGGAGTCCAACCCAGAGCCTCATGCATGCAAGGCAAGCATTCTACCACTGAGCCACCTTCCCAGCCTTGAGTTTTGCTTTTTACCTGGGCTGCCCTGGACCTTGATCCTCTTATTTAGACTTTGTTGTTGAGATGAAAGGTAAGAACAACTACACCTAGCTTTTTATTGGTTCAGATGGGGTCTCATGATGTTTTTTAAAAAATTGGGGGGGGGCTGGGAAGGTGGCTCAGTGGTAGAGCGCTTGCCTTGCATGCATGAGGTCCTGGGTTCGATTCCTCAGCACCACATTAAAAAAAACGGAAGTGGTGCTGTGGCTCAAGTGGTAGAGCACTAGCCTTGAGCTGAAGAGCTGAGGGACAGCGCCCAGGCTTAGTTCAATCCCCACAACGTTAAAAAAAAAATTGGCCTATGCTGCCATCAAACAGATCCTTGAAATCTCAGCTCCTAAGTAGTCAGCATTACTCCTAGCAACTCAGGAGGCTGAGATTTGAAGATCGCAGTTCAAAGCCAGCACGGGCAGGAAACTTCTGAGACTCTTATCTCCAATTTACCACCAGAAAACCAGAAGTGGCACTGTGGCTTAAAGTGGTGGAGCACTTGCCTTGAACTGAATAGCTCAAGGACAGTGCCAAGGCCCCAAGTTCAAATCCCATGACCAATAACAACAACAAAATTATTATTAATAATAAGTAAAAATAAAGAGAAAGTTTGAGCCGGGCGCTGGTGGCTCACGCCTGTAATCCTAGCTACTCAGGAGGCTGAGATCTATGAGGATCGCGGTTCAAAGCCAGCCCGGGCAGGAAAGACTGTGAGACTCCTATCTCCAATAAACCACCAGAAAACCGGAAGTGGCGCTGTAGCTCAAGTGGTAGAGCATTCTCCTTGAGCTGGAGAACTGAGGGACAGCGCCCAGGCCCAGAGTTCAAGCCCCACAACCGACAAAAAAAAAAAAAGAGAGAAAGTTTGAAAACAGTATTAGTTATTGAAGTTTGAAAGACTTGGTTAAATTTTTTCCCCTAATACACATTAACATGTCAAAATACATTAAGAAAAAAAGTTTTGTTGCCATACCCCCTCAACCCCTCTTTTTTTTCTGGTCCTAAAGCTTGAACTCAGGGCCTGGGACTGAGCCTCTCTGTGCTCAAGGCTAGCACTCTACTACTTGAGCCAACAAACACTACTACCAACTTTTTCTGTTTATGTGGTATTTAAGGAATCGAACCCAGGGCTTCATGCATGCTAGGCAAGCACTCTACCACTGAGCCACCTTCCCAGCCTCCCAACCTCTCTTGTAGGTGCTTGGTAATCCCTATCTCAGACTAGGCATTGTAGAAAGACAGAATTCTTAGCTCAGACCAAGTGGTTTATATTTGTAATCCCGTAGACTTGGGAGGCAGAGGCTGGGAGGATCTTGGTTTGAGGCTAGCCTGGGGGAAAAAGTTATCGGGATCAAGAAGCTAGGTGTGGCAGGTTACACTTTGATACCAGCTACATGGGAGGCTACAGGGTAGCAAAAATGTGAGACTGTATATGAGAAATAACCCAAATCAGAAATGACGGGGTAAATGACTCAAGTGGTAAAGTGCCTGCCTGGAAAATGCAAGGCTCTAAGCTCAAAATCCCCAGTATCACCAGAACAACAACAACAAAAATCA